CCTCTCTCTCTCTCTCTCTCTCTCTCTCTCTCTCTCTCTCTCTCTCTCTCTCACACACACACACACACACACAAACACACCACCTTCCCCTGACCTCTTCCCTCACTCCGTACTCAACCCAACGTCTGCCCTCCCTCCCTCCTTTCCTCCGCCCTCCTTCCCTGCTTCCCTCCGCCCTCCCTCCACTCTACTTCTCCCTGACGTCTTTACCCTTCTCATGCACGTCCAGATCAGGCACAAAGCAGGGAGGGAGGAGGGACTGCCGAAGGAATAAGGTAAGGCCACTGGAGTAAAGAGGGAGAGAGGGAGAGAGGATGGGGGAGGAAGGAAGGTGAAATGGAGGAAGTAGGGAGGGCCGGAGGGCAGAAAGAAGCAAGGGAGGAAGGAGTGAGGATTGAGGGAGAAGGTCGCGGCAGGAATGGAGGAGGAAGGGCCGAGAAAGGGGGGATAGTGCCCCTCTCTCTCTCTCTCTCACACACACACACACACACACACACACACACACACACACACACACACACTTCCTCTTCCTTGCTCTGGCCGATGTTCATTTACCTTGTTCCGCTGATTTCCTTGCCTCCAATGCGTTCCTCCGCCCGATGTCCACCTGACCTCGTCCCTCCATTCCTCTCTCTGGCCTCCCTCCTGCCTCCCTCCTTCATCCCTCAGGACGCCCTCCCTTTTTCCTTATCAGGCACTCTCCAGATCAGGAACAAAGAAGGGAGGCGGAGGAAGCGAGGAGGACAGAGAGGAGGGAGGGCCGAGGAATAGGGTAAGGCCACCAGAGGAAAGAGGGAGGAGGGAGGAGGGAGTGAGGGAGTGAGGGAGTGAGGGAGGAGGAGAGAGGAAAGAAAGAGAAAAGGAGGAAGTAGGGAGGGCCGGGGGGCAGGAGGAAGCAAGGAAGGAGCGACGATCGAGGGAAAAGGGTCGACGCAATAATGGAGGAGAATGGGCCCAGGGAGGAGGGTGGTGATGTGCGCCCCCCCCCCCCTCTCTCTCTCTCTCTCTCTCTCTCTCTCTCGCGCGCGCGCGCGCGCGCACACACACAAAAAGCAGCTTGGAGGTCAAGAAAGTGAGAGGAGGAGAAAAGAAATCGTTCAGTCTTGGAGCAGCGAACGGGTGGCAGGGTGGGAGCGAGAGAGTGGGGGAGCGCAGCGATGAGAGGGAAAGTTCTGGGTACTGGGAGAGTGGGTTGGAGGTGAGAAAGAGAGAGAGAGAGAGACTCACTTGAGTCAGGCATGTCCACGAGGCTCTAACCACCAACGCACAAGCCTTCGGCGAAGCCGTCCAAGTTCAGGGAAGCAGACAAAGTCTCGAGCTCTGTCGCGCCAATCCACGTCGAAGTTCAACGAAGCGCGACGCGCCAAGTTCAGTTCACGAAGTCCGACGCACAAAATTCACGAAGCAAGGAGGGAGAGGGAGAGATGCGAGAGAAGAGTAGCACGTAGCACGTAGCACCCATCACAGAGTCACGAAGCATGTAGCACAATTCACAATCACAGAGTCACGAAGCATGTAGCACAATTCACAATCACGTAGCACGGGGCACGCAATTCGCGTTCTTTTTTCTTTTCTTTTTCTTTTCTTTTTCTTTTTTTTTTTGGATCAATTAGCGTTCTATTGTACGATTGGACCCCACAGCGACGCGGACAGCAAATTTCTTTGGTGGTGGTTTCTTTCTGCGCGGTGGTTTCCAGCACCCCACAGAGCCCGCTTTCGCGGTCTGGAAAGTTCGCAGCCCGTCAGGGATGCCCTTTCCCCCCCTGAGACATTCAACGTTCAACGTCAATTTCAACGTCCGTGAGGGTGGGCATTTGAGGTTTTGGGGCCTTGCAAGGGTCAGGGATGCGCTTTCACCCCCTGAGACATTCAACGTTCAACGTCAATTTCAACGTCGGAGGGTGGGCATTTGAGGTTTTGGGGCCTTGCAAGGGCCAGGAAAGCGTAGGACCGGTAGCTGCTAGTAGGAGGCCGAGGAGGCCGCAGTCCTTTTTCGAAATTGAAACCGTGCGGGTAGTCCTTTTTCCAAATTGAAACGGTGCAGGTCCTACATGTTGTATTCGAATACAATCTGTACCCTTTCTATTCGGATTTCGAAAAGAAAAACCTCTTGTATTTCGATAAAATTACTTCTTCTTTTTGTTGGAGGTCAGCGCCTGCCCTTGTGCT